TTGTATGTTATGAATCTTTTTTCATTGTTTGACATCAGGGGGGGTTGGGGTTGACTGAAACGATGAATATACTCGACTATCGCTTATCAACGATATATCCTGTATATAATTTCAGTCACAACAGCAAAAACGGAACATTGGTTTACTTTGTGGCCTCTTGAATATTTCAATGATTTATTGAACTTTTCATCGAGTTGTTCTGTACAAATGTTTGAGTAATCTATTGCTTGTTGATTCCGATTCGAAATGTAATACAGAGAGCATCAAGAAAGTTTGTCAGTTTTTGTTTGTTTAATCGAAAATCATGTTCAAATCGAGTTTTCGTTTTTCATTTTACAAATCGAATTCACACAAATCGGAATGTTAGAACGGAATTGAAACATAAAAAGTTATTCACATTTAAACAAATACATTTGCCCAGAGCATGAACAATTGAACATTGAACATGTAGGTAACATATACACCGATATACATTTTCCACCATAATCAACTTGAAAAGTAAAGGAAAAAAAGGTTGAAAAGAAAAAAGAGCATTTTTGTGTGGATACACAAGCTGTGGAATGTCGAATCAACATGTTCGTCTTGTTTTTATTTTCATTTTATTTTTTTGTTTCATCTTTTTTGCAGATTTGTTTATAGGCTTTGCTTTCACAACGGATATGATTTACAGCCGTGGTAAAACTTATGCATGTTATGTTAGCACAGATGGTGTGTTCAACTGAATTTTCTTTCCCATCCCTCCCAACGGTACATATATCCTTTAACGCCATTCATCATCGACAAAAAAAACAGAACTTTTTGTACTCGCTAGTTTATCAAGTGAATGGCAGCTCTGTGCATATTTGGTCTTCGGCCGAAAATTTGGTAAATTCGCAATTTCCGTATTTGTATCGCAAGCCAATACAATCACATATGTTTACTTCATCTCCATCTTATTTGGGCTGTCTTATTTCAGTATCTAGCATTGTGAACTGAATAACAATAAACAACACACTTCTTCGTTGTCGCTGACAGACAAACAACAAACTTTTTCTACACACACAAACATTTCCAATGAAAACCAAAAAAAAATATGCTTCGTGTTGCACACGCTTTTTCATTTGCTTTTATCGTGATGAACAAATTGAATATTTTTATCGCTCATTGTGTTCATACGAACGAATAACTTCATAATTTAAATATCATTGCATTAAATTTTCGCTCCTTTTTCTATTCATTTTTTTCAGTATGTGGCTTTTTGTGCGGTGCTTGGCGGGGGAGGCTCGATCGTCTATTCAAAATGAATCATTTATATTCAATGTTGTTGTCGCTATTTTTTTGGTTCGTATGCTGTCTTTTTCCACTTGCACCCAACTTGTGTCTGCATGATATCGTAATCTTTGGAATGTGTACAAATACAGATGTAGAGAAATGTAGAGAGAAAAAGCGTTTGTGTGGCGCAAGTAAACAGACATTCACCCAAGGCTAAAATGATTATCTATTTGTGTTGCACAAATTTAGCATGGAAATTTTATGTGAATTGAGTTCATATATCTATTGAATATATCGAGAAGAGAGTATGTTATTCAGCGCTTATGGCTGAGTAATGTCTGAATAAAAACATACTCTCCTCTCGATATTTTCAATAGATATGTATATCCACAGAAAAAGTGAGAATGCAAAAATTCTCATAAATCCAAATGTTTGTGCAAGTAAACATTGATAAATTTGAGATAAGTTCAGCACGGGGGAACGGAGATCATTATCTTCTCACCGAATAAATATCGATTCGTGACGCATTTCGTCGCACATTTGACAAATAAGTTCAAAAATCGAATAGAACATAAATAAACACATTTATTATCGGATTTAATGTGATAGCATTTTTTGTATGCCTCGTTCAGATTTTTTATGTTCTAAAAAAAAACAGCAATCATCAATGGATTACCCTTTTTCACAGACACACACACACACACAATCATATGGAATGAGAAATGCCCTAATTCGAAGATATGTCATTACGTCTAATTCATGTATGAGAAAAAAACGAGGCGTACTATGTGAACCGTCGGTTTAACATCTAATTTCAAAGTTAAACAACATTTCACTGAAAACCGTAGTGTAGGAGTTTCATGAATGCTCAATTGTATCAGTTACCAAGAATTTTTGTTTGTGAATCTAGAATTACTTGTACAAACATAGAATTTTGCCAGCAAACACGATGTGATACTCCGTTACTGTTGATCGCATTGTCACTTAATGTTATCGCGTTGAACACACAAAGTGTAAATAGAGAACGAAAGTTTCACTTCAAAGCAAAAGAGGCGGAATTGGCATTACAAATTACATAAATATTAAAAGAAAACAAGAGAACAAGAAAATTGTGGTTATGTAATATTTGAACCAAAGTGAATTGAACACATTGCTGACTGACATATATAAACATTTAATGGGGCATCACATTTCCACAATTCATGTTCAGATTTTATTTAAGGTTTCAGAAGTGACTCATTGAATCCGTCTGACACATTATCAATAACTTATCCCACATTCCATTCAATCAGACGAAGCACACTAAAAGTGACGTAAAAAAAGTTTGAAAATGAACAACATTGATCCTGTCTATTGCTTTGATTGTGGCTTTAAATTCCAACGACGCGACAAAAGAATGTAATCATAACTTAATCTGTTTTCTTGTCGGAGCAAGATCAAAAAAGTAAACATCTTAAAGTGAGTCAACAAATATTTACCTGAATTGGCAGCCAACAAATCGCAAACACCAACACAATCACAACTACCATTCGTGTTACCCGTCGCTTTCCCTTTCTATAAACGGCCGTCAAACGATGTTTATGTGAATTGTGCGCGCATTTTTGCCGTTTACATTTTTTTTATGCGCCCAATTATTTAATAACGCCAACAGTATTTGTGGGTGGGATTGTTGATATTTTGGTGAATGTTGTTGTTGTACGGACGATGAAACAGCGACGCAGTGAAATTCGGATAGCAAATCCACACAGTGTTGAAAATACCATCCATAAACACACAATTACGGCGCAGCATGTAAGAATAGGTTTTTTTGTGCGATAAAAAAACAAAAAAGTAAACAAATATCAGTTTATGAATAAGATAAATGGTGAGCGCACACTTGGCAATGTTACAATATTTAAATTATCAAATAAAAACACAATCAAATGAACAACAACAGCAGCAACAGACGGTATACATGATGAGTTACTAAACATGTTACTTATTTACGATCAAAAAGTAAATACTAAACTTTCTTGGTGTGTATTTGTATGCCTCTTCATGGCAACAAATTTTTTTTTTATCGTTTGTAAAATAATCTATCCTTTGGCTTTGGGATAAAGATGAAATATTAGCTATTTTAAGTAAAAGAAAACCCGTTCACCACAAGACATCATTTTAGCAAAACCAAAACCGAAAAAGGGTTCTGATAAATCAAAAATTTTCATTAAAAATTCATTGCAGAAATTTGAGAGAGAAATAGAAAAAAAAATAATGGCTCTTTACGAACTGAAATGAAGAAGCGCATCGCATGAGGCCAGATAGAATAGGCAAAAAAAGAACATTGTAATAAATATCCACATTAAAGATAGAGTGTCATTTTTTCATCTTCGAACCAAAAAGTATATCTAGAACATTCACAGTGACATGAAAAACCGGTCAACAAAAAACGCACCACTCTTTTGAATGACATCTTTTTGTTATCCATACCACATGTTTTTCTATTCGACAATGTTTCATTTTCGAATAATTATTCGCTTAATTTACACAAAATTAAAGTTCTTTTGTTTTTATCCTGCTTTTCATTCGAAAACAATGTAATATGAGAAAAATGCATCTATAGTAAAAGGGCGACTAAATGCAAAATGAGCACTGAGCAGCAGCAAGGACATTTTTTTCACATAACAAAATCAGTTGTGTCGCCGACAATCGTGAACAATAGACGAAACAAAGGAAAAAAAAGGAAAAAAACAACCACTGACCAATCCTTTTTTTGTTCTACACCATCCATGGCAACTATTATTTTAAGCGTATTCTGTTTATTTTGCTGGGTTCTTGTTACATCTAAGTTTTAAAAAAACAGACATACATATAATTCTAGATGAATGCGACTACATTTGGTTCATATCGTTAACAATACATGTATTCGTTTAAAGAGTCTATTATGATGGACGGTTCTGCATCAACACGCTGAAGTGGCGTGTTTCTTTTTCGAGAAACTGAATTAATAATGTTTTTGCCGCATTATTTTTCCACTTTTTCTTCTCAAGAAAGTTAGTAGATTTGTTTGGTATTTCAGCATTTAGCGCAATTGTTTGAGACGTTGGATTCACGGCCATTCTGCCGTCAGACATTTTTCAAAAACCATCTTGAAATGCTCGATCATCGCCATCATAATACATTAATCATTTTCGCCAAATATACGCTGCAGTCGTTCTCCTTTGATACTCATTAAATTTTAACAGTGACAAATTTGTATTTACTTTGTCATTTTAAAGTCTGCGAACCAAAGATAGGAAAAGAGAACAAGGGAATAATGTTAAAACATCGCAGACAGACCGAGAAATTGAGTCTTTGTGTAAACCGAATAATAAACGTGCGCTCGTTCGTTAGCTCTCATCTCAAGAGGCAAGGTTGCGTTTGATTTTCGAACTGGAAATCATCTGTATAATTGAAACAAACTCGCGCTCGTTCGTTTCTATAAAATTCGTACAAAAGTCTTTTGATTTGTGTGTCACATTGGGAAAAACCAATGATACTTGAAACACATCGTCGAAAAATCGCTTAATGCATTTGTCAATAAAATATGTGAGATGAATGTCTATTTCTCATTCTCATTGGGGGTTTCAGTCGCAACTCATGGCAAAATCAAATTAGAGAACTCTAAAGCAACGTTTTCTGTATTTGTCGCTATCATTTCATCAAAGTGTTTCATTAGTCTTATCAACAAATTCAACAACGTTCTAGCATTGTGTGAGTCAAAGAGAAAGAATAACGAAGACTATCATTTCAGTGTCTCAATTTCAAATATCATTATACGTAGGCGACTATTTAAGTTTCTTCAATATGTATGTTTTAGTATTGCCCGATGCAAACCATTGTCATATTCGTTAAGTTTAACATTTTGTAGCATAAACGTTCTCAGAACGTTTTGTCATTCGATCGTTATTTGTATTGTTTACCGTAACATGTAAATTGCGTCTCAGCCAAAAAATGAATTTTACTCGTGAAAATTTTCGAGCGATTATTTTTTTCCACTTTCGATTGGGTGTATCACAACAACAGTGTTTTGATCAACTTCATTTGGCCTTTGGCGATGAAGTACCAAGTCTTCGGACAATTTATAATTGGTACAACGAATTCAAGCGCGGTCGCCTATCGCTCATCGACGAGTTCCGCGAAGGTCGTCCAAAATCAGTTGTTGTACCAGAAAACATCGATGCTGTCAGAAATATGATAATGGAAGATCGTCATGTAACATATCACGAGATTGAGGCATCCCTGGGCATTAGTGCGACCAGCGTATTTAAGATTTTACATGAACACTTAGCTGTCAGAAAGATTTGCTCTCGTTGGATACCACATAATTTGACAATCGCTCAAAAAAAGGCTCGTGTCGATTGGTGTAAACAAATGCTCAAGAAATTCAATCGTGGTGTTTCAAAATCCGTGTATTTTATCGTCACTGGTGACGAATCATGGATCTACGCGTATGAGCCCGAAACTAAACAGCAGTCGACTGTATGGGTCTTTCAAAGTGAAGATAACCCAACAAAAGTTGTTCGAGCTCGAAGTGTTGCGAAGCAAATGGTCGCCTGTTTTTTCGCGATAAGTGGTCATGTAGCAACAGTTCCACTAGAGGCTCGTAAGACGGTCAATTCTGATTGGTACACCACCATTTGTTTGCCCGAAGTGTTTGATGAAATAAGAAAAAACAACCGCCGTCGCAAAATAATTCTTCATCATGATAATGCGAGCTCTCACACATCTCATCAAACAGTCGATTATTTGACCGGTCAAAAGATTGATTTAATGGGTCATCCGCCGTACAGTCCTGATTTGGCACCCAACGATTTCTTTTTATTCCCGAGCGTGAAGAATAAACTGCGTGGTCAACGATTTTCATCGCCCGAAGAAGCAGTTGATGCGTTCAAAACACACGTTTTGGAGATATCACTTTCGGAGTGGCATGAATGCTATGACAAATGGTTCGAGCGAATGCAAAAGTGTATTGATCATCATGGCGAATATTTTGAAAAACAATAAAACCATTTTCGATGAAACCCCATTGTCTTATATATGTTTTTGAAAAAACTTAAATAGTGACCCTCGTATTATGCAATTTTTTTATAAATTCCAACATCAACTAAAAGAGATACATATAACTCGTGAATCCAAATGCATGACATTTTAAAGTGAGCGTACGCTACAAAATGACACCCAAAACGAAATATAATGAACGTATGTAGTATAGTAAATATGATTTTTTTTATTCTCAATTGCAATTTCTCAAATGCTTAAGCTTTCTTCTCAAAGCCATCGAATGAAAACTACATCCTTTCGAAATGTGAAACTGTTGAACCTCCGATGAAAAGTCTTTACTTGAATATACACGCAAATCAAATATTTATAACTGTATAGTTGCTTCACTCCGTCTGACTATTGGGTTATCGTTGCCGTTTGCTAGTGTTGATGCCGTTGCTGCTGTTGTTTGTTTGTTCGTATGTTTGTTATGATTTAATGCTTTGCACATTGCGTTCGTCATACCTTGATTCAGCAGATGGATTACAGCCGGGCGCATTTTTCCATAGTCGTAACAGCATACCCACGTACAGCAATGAAATTAGAAATAGTGGAATAACATACGATGACAAGAAGAATGAAACCTGTTGAATGTAAAAGAGAGAGAGAGAAAACGAAAGTCAAAAAACGGAGAAAAATGTTTGATTATTTGTCATTGCATAAAAATAAAACTCGATGCAAACGTATATATGTACGTGTTTTGTGTCATATTACTACAATGGGACCGTTTCATTTCATGCGAATGGAATGTTCTCATTGCTAACCATAAATTCTTCGGTGCATGTTTGGCAGGAAAATTCAACTGAAAGGCAGAAAGCAAATGAGTTTCATGTTCGTTTGCAGTAATCAAAAATCCAATCGACGAAGAATGATCAAACAAACGTCTTTCGCTTAATATTTTAAAATGACATCGGGCGCTGGAGCCAAATTTAATTTTCATTGAACATATTTCATGCTTTGCTGGTAGTCACACACGTAATGCATTCATGACTCATACAAGTTTATGTGAAATACGGAAGCAAACTTTAAAGTACAATATACATTTCATTTTCATCATGTTTGAATACTATATCAAATTCGGTTGTGACTATTATTTTATGACAAATTTTAACGTAGATATATACTACATTCAAATTACACAAAAGGTAGCTATTTTATGTTAGGTGCATACTTGATCAGAAGGATTCCTATCGTTTCGATTACCCCCTAAAAATTCTTTTAATTTGATAGGGCTTATGAGCTATTCTTTCGATTGGCCCTCCCCCGATTTCAATTTTTTCCGAGTGAAATTAAAAACCTCTTATTCTTGCACCAGGTAGAATTATATTCTTTGCTTATCCCTATCGATTTCTTTTTTTTTTTCAATTAAACACCTCCCCTTTAATTTTTACCCTGATCAAGTATGGTTAAATATGAGATTGGTTTTAATTATTTCATTACATCTTCAATTCTGATAGAAATTTTCCATATAATAATTAATTGTCATTATTTCAACGAAATCAGCACAACTTTGCTATTGAATGCTTGCGATGTAATGGAATGCTTGTTAATTGCATAGAAACCTGATTCATATTTTTCGAACAAATTGATAAATCCAACTTAAATGTTGAAAATATAAATTCGCAGCACAATGTGTTTGAATTAATTTTAATATGCACGTGCTTTTGATAGCAACAAATATTTATTCGCCATTTCTCTCTACTATGAAAATGAACAGAATCTCAATTACAATAAAATATAATTTCAGATGTAGAGAAATATTCTTCCGAGTGGTGCAAATATACTAATTCAATATACGGAAGCAGTTTGAATGACGAGATGATGATGCACTGCAAATTAATTTGTGGATTGGCATCTAATTTAATGAATGCTTCATGAAATTAGAAAATTCTCAGTCTATTTTAAAATCAATTTATGCACAATGTTCACGTTTACACACTAATTCACTTGGAAAATGTAGAAAATACCAGACATTATAATGAGATATTTTCAGCCAGATAAATCAGCTCAGCCAGATATCGTCAGGAGCTGAAATTGAGTGAAAACAATAGAAGTGATTGTTATGGCTATAATTACAATTACATTGCTACAATCACTATAACAAACACTTTTATTGTTTTCACTCCATTTCAGCTCCTGACGATATCTGAGCTGGCTGAAAATATCTCATTATAATGTCTGGAAAATACACTGCCAATTTACTTGGAAGTAATGCTTGATGTGTATAAACGAGTAAAAAACGAATTCTGATCCCAGTTATAACGTACAATCAAGTCTTCAGATTCAAGAACTTTCACAGACTCAGGAACCTGAACCATTTCTAAGGAAAATAATTTTACTGGAAAAATCCAAAAAGAAAAATATGTGATGTGTAAATGAGGCTCAGGAATCTGAAAAAAACTAGGTTCCACGTAAATGGATGTTTTAGTTATGTATAAGTAAGTAGTTAGGTACAAACAAACTACCCGAAAACAACTTTAAAGCTTGACGGTACATCAAGCAAAATCAGAAGAATTCTTGCACTGTTCTTCAAACTTTCACATGCGTTCGAAATAACACCTGCAAAAGTGCTCGTGTAAGGTAACTATTGACAACAGTTTTATTTTTATTCTACCAGAGTCATATTGTGTAATGTGTATGTTCTATATTCATTGCTCTAAATGTAAATAGAACAAGAATCTTTGAAGAAACATTGTGCATAAAATTTAAACTTGTTGAATGATATTAGAATTCACATATTGTTTCATCTGCATATTTCTTGCAATAACTTATTACTGTACCGATTGTTTCATCTGCATATTTCTTGCAATAACTTATTACTGTACCGACAATCCAATCGTTCAATTTAACGCAAAATTTCATATGGCAAAATATTCTGTAAATATTATTTGATTTTTTGAACCATTCATAGCTTCTGAGCAGAGGTCCGAGGGGTTGGATTAACACCCCCCCTTACAATTTGAAAAAAATATTCTTTCGATTTGCTAGCGATTTTCGCGAAAAAAGTGAAGACCTTTTTTTGTAGCAGGAATTTTGCAAGGGTTTTTTTTCCGCGAGAAAAATCATTCAATTTGCTAGGGTTTTTTGAGCCTAAGAATAAACCAATCAGATAATGCATTTTTGAGTGAGTGACCAAATAGAAAATTGCCCTTTTAGATTTTAGGAAAATTCAGAAATTACACCCCCCCCCATTGGATCGTCAACTTCAGAAGCTATGGAACCATTGAAATTGCATCAGTATTTTAAGACGTCAGACGTTTTACTAATGCTATTAAATATTTGCGGTATATTAAATAATACACTAATGTTAATGAGCATTGCTTAATGAGTGGATCTCCCAAAATATTCATTATAATTTGAACTGATGGAATGTACAAATACACCACATGAACTCTTTTAGGATGTGAAGTATTTGAAACCTCTTGCTAAACCAACCAAATGAAACATTTCACTAACACCCACAATTCAATGAAGAATATTTGATAGGTTCGCATTGTCCAAAATACTTTATATTCTTTTAGTGAAATTTATCCGTCAAATTATATGATTAATGATGCGCAATGTCCAATGTAAAGCTGAAAAACTTGTGAGCTATCGTGTTTGAAAAAAATGGCAGTTTCATTTTTCAAGTTATTCAAAAAGTAACTGTGCAACAATATATACCATAAATAATAATAATAGATTAGACAGCAAATTAAGTAAGTCTAAAGCTTCCGTTTGAAATTGATTTAATAAAAAGAACCCAAAATCCCCAAATTAGGCTCATTTATAACATAATTTGGTTGTAAATCAAATAATTATATTGAGTAAAAGCAACTGTTTATACGTTGAAGGATGCAGATAGAAATGCTCACCAACAATATATCATAGTATTTTATGTGTTGACTTAAAATTACACCCCCACAAATTGGACATACATCTAATAAAAATTGTTTGTGATCAACAAATAAAAAACTATTCAATCCACAAAACATGTTCGTGTTAACCTTAACAAATTTGTAAAACTTTTCCTATTCCAAAAAAACTTTTAAATTGAATGTTTCCCATTTCACGCCCTTGAACAAAATTCAAGTTTGTTTGATGACTTTAAAAAAGAGTATACATACGTTTTTTTTCTTACCTGAAATGCTACTAGATTGTATCCTTCCTCACTCAAAAATAAGCATGCCGTATAGTTTCGGCCCCCATATGGGTAATTGACGACACCATGTGATAGTGCAGCTGGAATTCCCGTTGTTACAATAATAACCCAGGCGGCGACAATCGCTCTGCATGCACACACAAATACATATTTCGATTTTATTTATTTTTTGAGTTCGTACGATGTGAGATTTAACGAATTCATCATCCATTTTGACATTCGACGCCCACACAATGTATGGCATTTACAGAGTCATTTTTCATTCAAATCCAAACAAAGTGACGGTCCAATCGATTGTTAGAAATTCCCATGAAAAAAAGAAGCAAAGAGAAAAAAGTGCAGTGAAATGTGCATGTCATCGACAATGTTAGGTACAATAGTTTTGCAATTTTGTTTCAAATGATGAAACCCTACAATGTGTTTAGTTTTGTCAATTGAAGCAAACGAATCAACTCGGTAGTGTTCAATTAAAATGTCGAAATTGGCTCAAAATAAACAGAAATGAAATGTGGCCTCATAGATATTGGTTCGATTTGAAAAGTTAACAATTTTCAAATGCTCACTTGAAGCCAATAGCAATTGTGACTCATTTTTCCGTTACAACAGCCATACCATACGCAAACACAAAAAATAACTGAAGCGAAGTGAAAAGCTATTTGCATAGAAATGACTACTTACAGTGTTGCATTGCGTTCGGTTCGCAACGACATACTCGTTACGGGATGTACAACTGCTAAAAATCTATCAAATGACATCAAAACCAGGGTATACACACTCGCATGGCACGTAACGACGCTATTCGAAATGATATTATTATTACGATGAGAGACACACATTCAAATTCCATAATTCACATTTGATATTCATTTAGTTTCATGAAATACTTACATCATGTATTGCACCTACAGAAACGAGATAAAATGAAATGGATAATCGATTTATAGTCATCTGTTAAGTGGCTTTTTAAAATCGCTTTTACTTACGTATTTGCACCAAAGATGACCTACAAAAATGAGAATTGATTTAAATTCATTCTTATATGTGTTTTTTTTGTCAATTCACGACGGAATTTTTAATACTTACCAAAAGGCCATTCGCTCGCCACATAATCCTGATTTATGAGAATTTTTTTGTGTTCATGCAAATTTAAAGAGATGTTCAATTAATTGGAACAATTTCGAATGAGCAGCATTTTTTTACAAATTATTATTGAATGAAGTGTATAGAATATAGATACACAGTAAGAAAATATCAGCCGACGCTATACGCAAAACCGACTGGTACGTGCACTCATACGTTTTTACATCTTTTACATCTAGTGACCATACGATTTTTCGACTGATTCGTTACTCTTTGTACGTATCTTCGCACAGTCGAAAAATCGTATGGTCATTATAATGATGTAAAAGATGTAAAAACGTATGAGTGCACGTACCAGTCGGTTTTGCGTATAGCGTCGGCTGATATTTTCTTACTGTGTATAGAACACATACCGTAGCTGTAAAGGGAACGCAGAAGATCACAAAGAGAATATCGGCCGCTGCAAGATTAATTATCAGTATATTTGTCGTTGAGCGCATCTGCTGGTTGGCTGTTACAACTGTGATTAGAAAAACACCCCATACGTATATAAATTTGAACAACAAAATTCAGTTTTGAAAATTATAAAAAAAACTGTATTTATTCTACTGGTGCATTTGTATATGATACAGCAATATTCATCGGAAAATGGAGATATGAAAACTAATAAATGATTTTATAAAAAATACTTAACCAAAACTCACCAATAATAACTAAAGCATTGCCCATCAATCCGATCAGTCCAATGATACCAAAAAAGACTGGCACAACCATCGAAACAATTCGTTCGAGTGGCCATTCCGTTTCGTTTACAAAATAAGGACATGCTGATAAGTTAACGCTATTACCAATCGCTGTCGCACTTGTGTTAATATTGCCGCAATAATTCGTGAGGTTTTGAGTCATTTTGGCATAATTAATTGCACCGTTTTCACTATCTCACGAGTATAATTTGAAATTCCTAATGTTAATTTTCGTCTTTTGCTTCGGACTTTTTTCCCGCTTTCAGCTTGTAAAAAAAATCACTGCTCATACAAATCTATACAGTTTGCACTTCAAATCATTCGAATGGGAAGAATTCTTATTTCCGACGATACACCAAAATGTTGAACGGTAGACGATAAACGCGCAATGACAAGTGGTGGTGGGGATGAAACGATGGTTTTAGAAACTCGCGGGAGTAAAATTTATGTTCGTTGTATGATGGCCTATGTAAAACAACTTTGAGTGGACGAAAATGTTCAATGCTTAATTTGTGTATGTTTGCTTTTTTTAAAACCTCCGTTGTATGTCCTAAATCACAGATCACAGATTATTTCCGTAGACAATATATTTTCTGTCCAATTTTTTTACACTTTTTTTTAATGACACTTAATTTTATGCTGTACGATTTTTACGAACTTTTTTCATGGTTTATTACGATAAAATGTTCATTCGAAATCAACTTCGTTTTAAGTAATTTTTGTGCGGCGATGATTTGATCTATACATACCCGAACAATTTCGGACAACTCTCCAAGATCGATTATCTGAAACGAAATAAAAATAAAAATTAATCCGAGATAAATTGCAAAAACATCACAGAAATAGATTGACGTGATTTAAAACATTCGGTAATCTAAACCGGTTGTTCTGCGTATTTTAAATACAGGATTGTCCACTCTATGTAGAATATATGGTTAAAAAATCATCAAAATTTTCATGTGAATGTTATTTTTTTGTATCTGATTCATTTGGTAAATACTAAATAACAAGAACTGCATTGCGACTGTGTCCAATATACCATAGATGATGACGGAAATTTTTTTAGAGGGGGGTGATGGCGAAATTCCGTAGGGGGTCCCTGGAAAAATCCATGGGGGTCCCTGATGAATTTGTAAGAAATGAGGATAAAATCGTTTTTTTTTGCTCTTCAGTTTTTTCAACCCTAGCAAATCGAAAGAATTTCACGGTCAAAAAAGTGAAAAGCAAAAAAAGGTTCTCATTTCCAAAATTGTTGAGGGTTCCTAAAAATATTTTAGAGGGGGGTAATCCGAACCCTAGGAACCCTATGCCAATATACCATATACAAAACCACATGCAAAAAGTGTTAATGAAAAATTGAATTTTTACCACAAGTAAAAAATGAATTGACGTATGTCACAAAATATATAAATTTTCGAACCGAGTAAATAAATCTGAATGACCAAGCCATTGAGATGAATTCGATTATTTGTGTGGCATATCAAATTCGTTTGCAACATCAACAAACCCACACCGATACAAACCGAAACCAAACCATTTGTTCGAATTCACTTGCCGAGCAAAGCAAGCGGAACGTTCGGAAAATGGTTTGTACTGCGAATCGCAGTCCACGATACGTTTACATTCAAAGCATCGCTATTCACATATACATAGCTTGATTGTATGTTCGCCATACAAACCATTTTGGGAACGTTTCGTTCAATACACAACTGAAACCACACGAAGAAACCTTTTGTATTCGAAACGTCAAACCGTTTTTAATCGCTGCAAACCAAATACAAAAAATGGATTGAATTTATTGATTCCAATGTGCTTGTATTCAAAAGAAAGTACATGAAAAACGGTATATACATGAAAAAAGATAGAATGATTGAGTTTGGGTGAGAAATAACAGAATAAAGCGAGAGAAAAACATTAAAAATGGGTCGTTTTGCACATACAATTAATGGTTCAGATTGGTGATGCCATAAAATATTTTTCCATTCTTTTTTAAAATGGAATTCCTTTTTTTTGTTTATACATATTTGACATTGTTTAAGCACAAATATCTGCAGATTGGTTTTCGCCGTTTCATAGCTAAAATAAGAAATATTTTGTGAAATTTGATGTATAGTGAATAAAAATTCAAATAAAAAATAAATGGAATGGAGCACTAGCGGAATAATGCATAAAAATTCCTGAATTTATTGCATTCATCTGTCATCGCATCAAAACGGAAACAATTTTTAAAACAGAATATTTGACATATAATTTTGCATGGTTTTCTTCTCTCTCTCTCTCTCTCAAAATTTAAATTATGACAACATAAATTGCATACTCAAGTTAAAAGTCACAATTCATGAGCCAAAGGAAGCATCTTAATAGATATTTATGCAAAAAAATGCAATAAGTGTGAAATCTTGGTGTTGACGTTTACACCTGCGACATGCACATTTATTTACAATTTCAATTGCAATTCCATTGTGTGAACGGAACGATGCATCATGTACTCAATTGTGCGACATCACAAGCCATTTAAAAAAGATGTACATATATTCTGCGACAGCACGTGTGTTCTACTTATATTTTCAATAAAGAGCAAGAGGCAAATTGTATGTGTTTAAATATGGGACAAAGCACTTTCTGAAGTTAAAACTGGACTGGGCATGTATACGGAAAGCAAAAGAGAGAGATTGAGCATGGTTGGGTTTTTTTATGTAAAGGTTGATTACTGATTAGTCGCTTATTATTTACTCTGCACATAGTAAAAATCGGGCATATGCTGTTGCTGGATGTTGACGTGTCGAATTACCCTTGCTAACTATTAGTTACAAGCAACTTATGAACTAATTGACATTAAAGGTAATCTGGATCGAGCTCAAACGCCTGTCGTCATTCATTCTAAAACTACTATACATGAAATTCAAACCCATATTCGATTTCATGTATTTTGACAGTATTCAGCTTTGAAATTTCAGCACGGGAATATAGAAATTGAATAGAGTCGTTTGAGTAGACAGCACTATATACACATACAGCTCAGAGGGTCATTTTAAATTGAAACGAGTGGGGCGTTTCATGCAAATTTATGTTTGTGTAGAGCACCATTTACGCTATAATTGAATATATCTGTGGAAAATCTCAGTTATCATCAATTTGAATTAAATTCACTATTTGTGAAATGAGAGCTTTCTACTAGCAGTTCCAATGTGCTTGTGCGTGTTGCAATTTTTCATATAAATATTTTTTTTCGCTCTTAAACTAGTTTTACCACGACCGATGAGGAAATTTAAAATTTATTTTGATATTTTAATCCTATATTCATCGTCAGCATTTGCAGCCACCCATATCTAGTTGCGTTGCTACTGTTGGTGAAGTGTCTCGTCAACTCAACTTATCACCCATGTGAAAAGGATACTTAATGAAGTTTATTGGAAAGAAAATTTCCTGCATGAAATGAAAAAAAGCGGCTTGCATGTGACATTAGCGCATGGCAATGGCAAATAGTGTAATGAAACTACAACAATTTTAGCACTTAAATATTCTTGTGGCATGTGTATTCCCTTTTTACATCAAACAAAATGGAAAATCTGTTTCATTTGATGATTGTTGAGAACCATTTTAAGTTGAATGCTTTAACCCAATTTCAAGCGAAGATCGCCCTCAATTTTGTTTCAAGCACATGCGCGCGCAAAATGTTGTGTGATGGTTTAAGTAACACCCGTGAGTAAAATAGAGGTCTAAAGCCAATCAAGAAGACAAAAGCACGCCAGCTATTTTATTCTTGTTGTTGAAGTTCAAAGAGACAATGGCCGGTGGTATGCTTGCAATCGGCATGTTTCAGCTTTTATTTCACAATACAACTTGACCTGAATTCTGTGCAAAATTTCATCCTCATCAGATTTTCAGCTTCATGAAGCTTTTCTCTTTTTCTTTCACGATCAATTTTAAAAAGTATTTAAAGTGTTTGAGACGAAGCTTCATAAACTAATGGATTACATTCATATAAACTTCGAACCATCTGTGGAAAACACGCGGAATTATTGACGGTAGGGATAAAGCGAGAAAGAAACGGAATCCACCATCAGTATGGAAGTATGGGGTATGCAGTTAAGAGTGGCCACACAAGAAAACCCATAACTGCGCTTATCGACTATCAACGAGTTTTTATTAAATGATGCAACGCCAGCTACTTTTTTATTGGTTTATCCCGTCATCATTCATATTACTTTGGAAACGCTATATACAACAATCTTGCACTTGTCCATAAATTGTTATCGAGAGCGCATTCCATGGGAATGCTTCTCTCGAATGGAAATCTCAATAAAATCCAACAAAATTCCACTTGAATTCTTCATTGTATTGCCATTCAATTCAGCACACAATGAACAAATGTTATCGAAAAAAACGATGAAATTGAACATTTCTTTTTCTATTTGAAACCAAAAACCAATTGAAAATGTATTGAACAGACAAAATTCGTAAAATATCATAAATATATGTATTACCAACAACTGAACCAATGGCTTTTGTACTAGATTTTCCAGCGACCAGAGTTCATTCATATCAGGATTCAGTTATTTAATGGTTTTCATCAAGAAATCGAATTAAAAGAGAAAGAGAGAAAGAGAAAAAAGAAACAAAGTACATTTTTTAACATTTCGGTGCAGACGATGGAAAACGTTACTTTTTTATCGCATTCAGCGATGTAAAGAAAGAATGACATTTTCCAATAGATGAATTCACAGTTTCATTGTGAATTATTCAGCATTGAATTTTCATAATGAATGAAATGCAGACCATTTTTGTTGATGTTGGCGTTGTTAATTTTAGAAATTTCTTAACGAAAAATTGCTTATATTAGATTATCGCATGCATTTGCATCATATTGAATGAGACAAATTGTATATTACTATTATTGTATAAAAGTGAATCGAGATACAACACTGAGATTACGTGTTACGTTAACATTATCGCGATCAAAACAGTTGGATGTGACATCAACAATACAATGCAAAAAGGCTTCACGCCAATAAAACTGTTATTTATTTATGATTACACAGACAGTGCAACGTCATGAACAAATGGATTGCATTGGCAAAAAAAATTATGATGGCATTTGAGCTATTCTTTTTTTTGTACAATGCAATGTGCAGAGTAAGCACAATTACATTGAAATATGAATTATTATCAGTTGGCGTCCAGCTGCGAGAGCTGAAACGCTTTTTTATTTTCGTATACAATGTGTACATTTGTCATTTTTGTCTGACAAAAATAAAAACGAAAGCTAAGAAGCTCCTGCTTAGTAGCTATAACATGGCATAATGATTCAAAATAGAAAAGTTTACTAATTGAATGGAAATTCCATAATGTATATGAATATAATCAGCATAATGAACAATAGATGAACACTGCTATGCAGCAAAATGGCTCGAAAGCAATTATTTTATCGTTACAATAATGATATTTGGGTTGTGTGTATGTGTGTGAACTGTGCACTGTATTCGCTCGGCGTGCTCTTCAAATTCCCCACTGAAAGTACAACAACATTTCATCAGTGTGGTTGAATGATAAAATATTCATTCATCAACTTGTATAATATTCTCGTGTGACCATTTAAAGCGTTTTATGCATGTATCTATCTGTATGTGTGTGGATACATTTATTATTTAAAGTTTTATAAACTTTAGCGCTGTTCTATGGAAATCCCAAGCAAGAAATACTCGAATACAACTTTGTATTAAAACGTGATTTAAGAAAGAAAATGTAAATTTAGTCGTAATAATGCATGAGCTTTTTTGTTTTA